TTTTCCTGCCTTGAGATATTGAGACTCGAACATCCTTACGTTCTGGCAAAATGTTCGAGTCTCAATATCTCAAGGCAGGAAAATTCATTAGCAGCGAATATTTTTCCGTCGTACTACTATGACCATGGGCTACAAGTATGGCAAGTTTGAAATCAAAACTCGAAAGTCGGATTTTGCTCTAAATCCAAGCTCTATAGGCAAAAACTGACTAAAAATTCAGTATCTCAGCAACAAAGCACCATAGACACAAACCCTTTTAGGCTTTTTACTATCTCAATATATGCTATCGATCGGCATATGAATGAAGGAAAACGGAGTGGGGTAGTTCGATATGTTTCCTCGTGAGTATGAATAAAAAATAAGTTTATGTGACCCGTTATTTATCCCAATGGCGTATTTAATCTATTTGCAATGAAAATCATTGTATTCTAGCTTTTGTTATTCATGAAATATATATATTGATTAGATAATATATCAGAATTATGCCATGAGGATCTAAATATATTTTTCACTCAACTCTGTAGTAAAACTTCTAAAAGTCCTTTTATAATTTTATTGTATTATATTAGTATGTTGGATAATTTATGAATAAATAACCCTAAAAGGATAAGCATTTCGTTTTTTGTTTCATTCTAAACTTTGTACTTCGAATAGTTTAATGGATTAAAACTTTTAATTAGTGAAAATAATTAGATCTTCTGATTAGAATCAATATTATTTAATTTTTGTTTTTGATTTGACTAACATGACTAATAATATTCCACAGCGAATAATTGATATTGTTGGTGAGAATGTCAAATTTGAAGTAGTAGATATAGGTTGTTCTCAAAATTTAGTTTATCGAATAAAAGATAATTATTATCTTAAAATTTCATCTAACAAAAATGATTTATTGAGAAATGAAGCGGATAGGATAAAATGGTTGCAAAATAAACTTCCTGTTCCTTGTATAATCGATTATTTTGAGGATAAAGATGAAAAACAATATCTGTTGACATCAGCATTACTTGGTACAATGGCTCATTTAGCTGTCTGTGATATTCCAAATACTGTTCGTCTTTTGGCCAATGGTTTACGTCAATTTCATTGTGTATCAATTATTGACTGCCCATTTGATGAAACATCTAAAACAAAAGGATATAAAACAGACGATTTAGTGTTGACTCATGGTGATTATTGTTTACCAAATGTATTAATTGATTTACAGAAGAATGTTGTCGACGGTTTTGTTGATTTAGGTCAAGTGGGTATTTGTGATCGTCTATGGGATTTTGCATTAGTGAAAACAAGTTTGGAGAGAAATTTTGGTAATGGAGAAAAGTGGTTCGAATTACTCTGGAGAGAATATGGATTGAAGGAAGAACCAGATAGAGAAAAAATAGAATATTATCAAATGTTAGATGCATTGTCTTAAACAATAGAGAAAACACTTTCAAACATCTACTATTTTGTGCAAAAAAAAGAACCTATTATCAGATAAAAAATTAGTTTTTACATTTTAAAATAAAAGAGCTAAAGTATGAGCAACCTAGTAGTGAGTTATAATCTGCAATTCTTGTACATTCGTCATTTCTACTTTACATTAATATAAATTTTTCATTTTATTATTTTGTAGATGCATACAATTTGTTAACATCCTTCCACGTGCAATATGAATCGTCCCGTTAATTCTTCCACTGATGATTTTTTTGACATGCCTACTCGAGATTCGTCACCTCCATCTCCTCATTCAAATCATCATCAAACTAATAAACGTCCTCCAACCACGATGACAAAACCTCGCCGACCTCATCGCTCAATTACAACGTCATCGTCTTCCTCTTCTTCTCGTCATACGTCGCCTGAAGACGGACGAAGATCTAGGCAAAGTGGAACAATTAACAAAGCAAAAATAACAGAACAACAACAAAGAAGATCGAAACCATCAAATCATCGAAAACATTCTTCATCATCTTCCAGTTTAGAGAGACCACCACCGGAAGAAACAGATCCAAAACCGCTTAGTGAAGTCAGAATTACAGCAAAACCACCCATGTATAGGCTAAGTAAGAATTATTCAATGTGTTAAATGAATCTACTTTTCAAATGAAGATTGTACACAGGGACGCCACGAAGTATAAGATGCAGGGAGGGATCCTCCGATTTCGGAGTAAATCGAAAAATTTCAAAAATGAGCGTAAATATCTGATTTGTCTAATAATACGTAAGTTTTGACATACAAGATATTTTAATTACAAAAAACTTCATGCGCTCAAGTTTTTTGCTATAGTTTCTGCAATAAAACTAAACATATTTTTCATTTTCTAAACTGATTTCTATTCTAACTCGCAGGCATTTAACTGTGAAAAACAACTAAATTATTCTGAAATCTATTGTTGTGCTTTTCTGAATACGCTTTTCCAGTTTTAGTTGTTTCCAATAAGCCGCAGTTTATGTCTGAGATATAAACTTGTGTAAATTTAAGAGTAAAACGTACTGATTCATCATCATAACCTGCGGAATTTATTGAAAACTTGAGCCTCGAATTTTGAGTTTGGGAGTAAACATGTAGCACTAAATCAGAGTTCAGAAGCTTTTCCTCTTCGTTTCCATATGCTGTTATCGTTATTAGCATACACCAGATTGTGCTAATTGTTTATCTCATTTCCAGAGCTATAACTTTTTGAATTTGGGAGTCAAAGATTTGAAAAAACAGGGAGCGGGATCCCCCTCTCTGCTCTCGTTGTCATGGCGTCCCTAATTGTACAATATCGATTTTTTACAATTATAGACATATTTATTTTTTATGTTTATTGTTTTAATTTCATATAAATCATAAAATCTTTCTTTTACTTAGATAAAGATCCATCGGATAATGATGATGAGAATGATACAAGTTCAGAATCAGGCACAAAAGTTGGTGGTGGTGATATTACTGACATATCTCCAATGCAAACTCCTCATTATCGAAACAAATCTCAAAACAATAGCAAAACATTTGAATTAAACTCAATGATGAACGTTTTATTAGGAAGCCAGAACGAAAGTGGTGAGTACAAAACGAAAGACTATCTAAAAACTAGAGGACATATTTATAACACAATACTTTTAATATCACAACATACTTCTGAAGAATCAATTATTACTTAGGTCATATCAAAAGTACTGACATTTGATAAAACGCCACAAAATAGAGTTAATCAAGAATTTACTTCAGCAAGTATTTGAGCTAATATAGTCATGAATACGTACACACAATCAATTCATTTCAAGGCATCTGCTGGAAATTTTTGCCGAATCATGTGATTAAAAAATTCATCGTCTTGGTTACGGCATTCAATGCCACGATTAGAACTATTTTCGATCGGTTAACTTTTGTTGAACATGACTGACTAGGGAATATATGAGATAGTAGTAGGTGAATTATTATCAAACACTTTCATTCTCATACATTGATTCGTTCATTAAGGCCCCCCCCTCAGAAATGGTGATTTTCGGTCAAAAAATCGGTTTTGAGATACGCACATGAAAAGGTAGCCTGAAGTGTCTACTACCAGAATCTGTATTGCTTTTGGTTACAAAAGTGGTTTTTCCGGGATTTTGAGCAAGTTTTCTAAGAGTCTCGAAAAAATGGGTCTTCAAATAATGTTTTTTTCCTGGATACTTATGCAATTAAAATTTTTCTGAAAACACTGCTTTGTAGAGCAAACGTTTCTGATCAAAATAAGACTTCGCACAACTCTGTATGACCTTGCATCGAAAAGTTACAGACATTTTCCTAGAAGTCATAAAATCGACTATTTCATACAGCGTTTAACATA